TTTTTCATGGACCATCCGAGGGGCGCTACATTGCACAGGTCACCCCCTTCCTTGTGCATTGCCCCTTGTTACGCCTCTTACCCATTTTGGGGGGGCAGCTTCGGCGGGCCTCCCCCTCTGGTGTGCCTCTCCCAGCCCCGTTCTTACCGGGGTCCAGTTGTATCTTCTGCCTGGCCGTTTCCCCGCCGGGAGTTTCTCCGCGGTCTCACCTATCCTGCCGCCGATGTCCGCATTCGGCATCCATGGCCCCATCCCATTTGATTATATTATATTGTTGCGGGGGCGCTCCCCTTCGCTGCCACATCCCACCGTCTCCCTGGGATTTTCTCGTGGCCCTCCATCTTTGTTCCGCCTCACCTCCTCGATGGCGTTCGTCGCCCCCGCCTCTCCCTTCGTCCCCCGTCCCTTCGGCGGGCTCTCGACGTTTCCCCTCCCCCCGTACCCCCCGCTTCTTGTGTCGGCTTGCCAGCTTCTGGTCTGACGTCGCGGGTCGCGACTAAAGGGGGGGGGGGGGGAGTGATGTACCGCACTAACCGGTACCCGGGGGTATCGACAACTCCCCTACAGTAACCGGCCCAAGAGGGCTACAGTTACGATAGTGTAGGGGTTAGAGTGCTTAGACCGGCACTAGGGCGGTGGCCACCGGTACCTGGGGTACCCCCAGGTACCGGCGCTCGGGTGTGGCCCCAAGTACGTAGTACTTGGGGTCCGGTGCTGGGTCCCAGCTTAATGGCCTTCGAGCGCCCGCACCGGCACGCTCTCTCACCCCCTGTTGCGCGCTGCCGCGCAACAACATACAAACATGGAGAGTCCGGGAAGTGGCAGTCAGACGCACTGGAAGGGGTAGTAAATGAAGTTTTGCTCCATGCCGTCATTGCCCTTGCCGAAAGAGAGATGGCCACTGTATTGCGGGTGCTGGAGATGGTGAAAGACTGACCATTGTGCACAACTTTTATTGTATAATATGGGTGTCCAACGAGCCGCAAAAATTAAAAACAAACCCAAAAGTAGCCTCTTTTGCAAATTTACATTTTTACACATACAAAACGCTCACGCAAAACCCTAAACATAAATGTAAAAACCAAACCTGGTGGCATGAGCACACACCTAGCACCAGCTATTCTCCAATCCGTTTCTGTGTTTTCGAACCCTGTGAGGCACTTCCAAGGATAAAGGAGGGCACAGGCACCAAGAAAAATGATGTCATCGTGTGTCAGCTTACCCGTCGGCGACCCTGTGCTATTTTCCAGCTGCTCATCAAATTTGGCGAGATTTAATGCTAGGGGCCATAGAAACGTCCACAAGTCTTTTAAAATGGTCTTGGGGAATGGCAGCGCATGTGCTTTGAAGCACCTCGGGGTTTGCACTCTTTGGGGGACCGTCGAGAGCCTGTGCTCATAATCGCCAGAGGTAAACTAGGGATAATCCTTGCCTCACGCTGCAGCCGAGGAGACGGTTTCTAAGGCGAAATGCGAGCAGCAAAAAATTGAGCAAATAACAAACAATAAATTACGAATATTCAATATATCAGGTTGCTATTAGTAATTGCAGATAGAAGAGCAAGAAATAAAGGGGTGTACAAACGCTTCTATTTTTTCTTCTTTGTCACCTTGTCTCGGCGTCTCAATGCCTATGGATCCGAAAGCTAGGCACAAGAATACCCAACCCCCCTGCTTTTCGGCTGCAATCAGTGTTTTGGCCCAAATGAATTTGCAGCTTGGGGCCATTGGCTTTGACGACTTTTGTTCTACCCATTCTGTTCACATTTTTGGGGGGTTTGTTTGGCTTAAGTTTTTGTACATTCTACTCCTATTTTCTGGGTGTTTTTGTCCTCTCTTTGTTGTTGCATTTCTTCTCGATAATTTCTGGATGCTCACTTTGTTCTTGCACTTATTTGGTTGTATTTTCTGGGTGTTTTTGAGCTTGTTTTTTACTCTGTATTTCTAGTCGCATTTGCTAGGATGGCTTTGCTTGTGGCCACCGGACAAACACCACCGAACATGCCACGTTGACACTACATGAAACTCCAATGTGTGAGCGCTCTGACTTGTCCCTGGGCTTCCCACTTGTATCTCCCTTAAACGTTGGGATAAAAAGTAGGGATGCAGTCTCGATTGCATGCACTTCACGAATCTCACCCCCTCTTTTTTTTTGGGGGGGGGGGGAGAGAGATTAATCCAATCACCAGATTCGGCGGAATTTGACCACCATCGCTACTAGGACCTAACCCCGCGGCGATGACGATAAGATTCTGCCGAATTTGCCTATGGAAGTAATAATGTGCCGGTCAGGGGGCCTCAAGGCGCCGGTTTTTTCCCCCGCGGGGTGCGGGGCCCAGCCTGCCAGAAACTGCCGTCCTTCCGGCCCATAAATCTTCCCCTACATACGGCACCGACGCCTGAGCCCCCCTCACCCCACCCCACCTGGACACCCTCCCAGCTCTTCTGACGACCGCGCGGACTTCTCCACGCGACCCACCGCGCCCCCCTCCTTGCCGCTCCAAGGCCAAGCTTTTCACCCCCTCCCCACAGGTGAGAGCCCCAACGCTCTCGAGCGCCGCGATGCCCGCCCCTGGGCGCCATCCCCCACTGAACCATCCCTTGGATCGGATTCGCTCAATTAGGTGGCCGGCCGAGAAGGGCCAAAAGGCGCGGGCTGACTTTTGGACGGTCCGCACCGGAGTCCCTTCGGCCATCACAGCATGCGCCGCGGGTGCCTGGAGGCGCTTTGAGTGGAAGGCGGGCGGGATCGATTGCCGCGATCACGCCGGTTGGGCCCTGGCGCGCTGGACGCGCGGGGGCGGCGATCGTCTTCGGGGCGCCGTCTGTCCAGGGTGCCGTTGGGATGATTGTACGGACATCGCCCTGGGATGCGCCCGGTGGGAATTGAGGTGATTGACGGCGGGATCCGCCGTGCCAGATTGGCCCGGGGGGGAAGCAGCGAGCCGGAGGGGGGAGAGCAGCGGTTTCGCGCCCGCGCAAGCTGTTGGCTGACGGTCGTTGAGTATTGATCGCTGACCTTCGACACGCCGTTGAAGTCGGTCCGTTGAGCAGCACGGGGACGAAGAGAGTGGCGGATGCTAGACGGGGGCGGTCGCGATCGCAGGTTCTGGTCGCGACGGAACGGCGGGCAGTGATGCATGCGGCATCAGTTGCCGCCCCGCGGCCCAAGCGCGTATAGATTGTTCGACTGGCCGGCGGGCGCCGCGGGGCGATCGGAGGTTGAGCGGGAGGGGCGCGCGGCCAGAGGGGGAAGCGATCCCCACAGCGCTCGTCCGCGTTTCTGTTCATCCCGCCGGCTGCCAATCGGATGCCACACGCCCACCCGCCCAGCCGGGTTTTTTTTCCAACGATGCCCCACCGCTCCACTCCTCCCCGGCGTCAGGCCGCGCCGCCACAGGGCGACCGCCCCGGCGCCGATCCCCACATCGTTTCCGCCACGTTGAACGCTGCCACCCGACGGCGCATCCGTCGCTTGGAGTTTGGCGCCAATTCCCGCCTGTCGGCATGGCCACCCATGACACACACACCCCTCGTCCGTGGAATCCCCCCCTCCGGAGGGGTTTCGGGCTGGTGCGGAGTGGCGAAAGGGGGGCCCGGGGGGTCAAGAGGTCGCGGTTGACCGTGGGGGGCCGGCGCCGCGGCGCGCGGCGGCCGCGACGACCGGTTGGCGAGAAGCTGGCGGACAAGCCGCTGCGCTTTCACAGGGCCCGGAAAACGGGCACACCGTGGGGGACCGGGGAGGGCGCCAGGGTGGCAGCCCAGTCACGCGCCCCAAGGGAAGTGCCTTTGCTTCGGAGTGCACTGAATGGGGGTCCCCCGCTTCAGTGGTAGTCAATAACGAAGTTGGAGTTGGGCATGGTTTTCGCGACAATGCCCGAATCGGGCATAACGCAATCGGATTGCGTTCTCGTATTCAGCTCAATTGATTGACACAACAGTGTGGTCTCGAAACCGGGAGCAGCTGACAGTGTTGCAATTAGTGCGGAGAGGCCGAGGTGTCAATGTGCAACATATTTGTGAATACGATTGTACGAAATCTGGTACTAGCAGTTCAAACCGTGTTGAGGATGGACCAACATTTGCAACCACCCATTCATATATCATCCCTATATCTATATTTATGAGCTGGCCATTGCGTGCCACTATTCTCCAGAGGTTCTTCCCTCCCTTTTTACCGCAGTGGACCAATCTGATTGAGCCAGGTCCAGAAGGCCTCGTTGTCCCTGCTGCATGGCGGCGCTGTCGTTGCCCCGACTGGTGGCCTCATTACCACTTTCCAACATAGAAGACGCGTTGCCTCGAACAGGCTTGCTTTTAACACCAGAAAAACTGATCATGTTTACGTTTTTATGCGTAAAAATGATTTTTACGTTTTTACGCGCAAAAATGCGTAAAAATGCGTAAATACAACGTAAAAACTGCCCGGTGTACATAAGGACAGTACACACACATTGCCAGAGTCCGGAAAGTGGCAGCCAGATGCCCTGGAAGGGGCAGGAAACGAGTTTTTGTCAAATGCTATTATCGCCCTTGCCAAGGGCGGGGTGGACATTGTGTTGCGGATGCTGGAGATGGTGCAGGACTAATCAGTGTACGCAACTTTCATCGTGTAACATGGGTGTCCCAGGGAGCCGTAAAACGTTAAAATAGCCGTAAAAATAGCCCCTTTTGCAAATTTACGTTTTTACGTGTAAAAACGTAAAAGTAAAAATGTAAATGTAAACGTCAAAACCAAGCCTGGCCTCGAATGTAAGTTTCCAAATGACATTGGCGTTTCCCACGCTCGGGCCACCTAAGCGTGCTCAGCAAATCAGCCCTTCCATTGCCAGGGACAACGAAGGCACATGAGCAATGGGTCGCCACACGGTAGCTCACGCACCTGCGGAACAATTGGACCCCTGTGACCGGCAGCAGGCAAGCAGTCTTCCACCGTGTGCCATGTACCGCTGCAGGTCTCCAGGAAAATTAGCCCCGGCTTTTCGCCGCCTCTCATTGGCAATGGAGTCAGCGGCGGCGGGATCGGAATTCCAAAGCAAGCCAAGCGGCGACGCGCCCCTGCACAGCGAATCCAACGGCACGGGCGCAATGCAATACCGGCCCTACGAGTCCGACATGGAGGAGGCCCAGTACGGAGGTGAGGGACTCTCATCCGCTGCAACGCAAGTGCTGTTTTGCAGTTACCAGCTTTGAAGGAACAGACATGTATAGGCAGAAACTCTATGCACCAAGTGGGAGCTGAGCTCCGCTTTGCGTGATTTATGATCGCGCGGCATGGCGCTGACCTTGGCGATGACAAGCAGCGGCGCGAAAGGGCGAATATGGCCTCCTGTACGCTTGGTGCACCTCTGTGGGCGGGACCTTCCTATGAAATCTGTGGTTGGAATAGAATGATGCGGGCACGGAAGTCGTTCATTCGATTCCCTCAAATCGCCGAATTCGATGCCGCATTCATGTCGCCCAATGCGCCTCAGCACAGCTCAACTTCGCCCAGCTCAAGGCGCTATGACCCAGTAAGGAACTGATCCAACGACTCACCAAATGAAACCGAACATCGACGTTGGCATGCCTCATGACCGGGCACAGTAATTCCACCTGACTGATCCGTCCAGAGGTGCGCGACGCCATGGCCGCCGGGGCCGCCTGGGCCATGATCCCCACGCCCTACGCCATGAACCCCCCCATTCCGCCAAACACGCCATGGGTGGAGCAGTACAGCCCCATGCCCGCCTACCATCCCGGCCCGCCGTACCACCCGCCCTACGGCCAGGAGATGTACGCCGACATGGAGGACGAGGCGGCCAACGGATTCTACAATTCCCATCCCAGCGGTGCGAGCTACGACGACGGCTCTGCCTACGCCGATTACGTGTACCAGAGCCAGGCAGGTTTCGTCGGCGCCAGGCCGATGACCCCTCCCATGATGTCCATGCCGTCCGCGGCCGCTTACGGCATGCCCTACATGGCCGGCTACCAGCAGCCCTTTGGCGTGAAGTCCTTCTCGGGGGGGAAGTGCGCGAGGGGGTATGACAGCGAGGGGGGCAAGGAGGGCGGCGGCGGCAAGGTGCAGAAGTGGTACCCGCCCATGCAGCCGTCCATCTTGGTGGGCAAGGAGGTGGTGGTGCGCCCAGCGGGCTCCGGCGCACACAGCGGGTCGGAGAGGATCACAGTGCAGATGACGAGCCTGGAGGACGGATACAGGTGGGAGGTTCGCCAGCGGTGAAATAATGGCAGCAAGACCATCGCTTCGACCAAATGAAATTAGATTCCATCGTGACTGAATGGAACCCAATTCAATCGAGCTCAGGTCACGTTGGTCCATTGAGGCGGTTGCTGCATCAACAGGCGCTTCCAGGAGCCCCACTCAAGGATGGAATAAGTAACGCATTATGGTAAACTGCCTGCCGGCGCTCGAGGGCCGGACCTTGGAGAAGAGGGAGATGGACGGCGGCACCGGAACTGCAGCCAACGGGGGTGCTTGCCGCCGAAAAGCTGCCCGGAATCGATGTCAAACATGCACAGAACAGTGCTCAAAGTAGCACCAATTCGACAGCCATTACCAACTCAGCGCTCCGAGCATCGCGGATTTGTTTCGTGCATCGTGTTTGCCAATTTGGAAGAGCTGTGCGCTCATTTGCGCATCGTATATTTGAGAAAAAAAGGCGATCTGGGATTTGCCAGTAAGTAGCCAATACAGAAATTCAATTAGATCTAAGCTTAACCTGAACTTGTGCAAGCGATTCGAGCACCACAGGCCTAGCCACGTTCAGGAGCTCGCCGTCGACTCAACTGAAGCCCGATTCCCCGATCATCGGTTCCGGGGCTCCCAACAATTGCGCAATTGAAGCATTCGGTGCATTGATCATCGCAGCACTGTCTAATTGGACAAAATTTTCCCGTTTCATAGCGCTGGCGTTCCATTGCACTTCTGGAGTATCACTGCTTTCCATTGCGGCGCTGCCGGCGTCTCTCACTGCATCGCCTCCACCGCTGTGCGCAGATGGCGCAAGTACGGCCAGAAGTCCGTCAAGTGCAACGTCCATCCGCGCAGCTACTACAAGTGCACCTTCCCCGGCTGTCCCTGCCGCAAGCAGGTCGAGCGGTCGCCCGACGACCCCACGGTGCTGCTCTCCACCTACGAGGGGCTGCACTGCCACCCACCCGCCCAGCCTAAGCCGCCGGGCGCGAGGAGGTCCGCTTGAAGCGTGTGGGGCAGCGCAGGCCAATCTGGGATTGTGGGCGGGACGCATTTTTCCGAATGGGCATGGCTTGCTCCGTTGTTCGTTAGGAAGCTCCGCATTCCGCCACTTTGGAGAGTAGCGTCTTGGATATTTTAGTGGGCTTTAGGAAAGGCACAGGGACGCACTGGACCGAATGGGCATGGCTGGCTCCGTTGTTCGCTAGGAATGTTCCGCACCCCGCCACTTGGAAGGAAGCGTCCTCGGAAATTTTAGTGGGCTGTAGGAAAGGCGTAGGGATGCATTGGACCGAATGGGGATGGGTGGCACCGTCGCTCGCAAAGAAAGTTCCACGCCCCGCCACTTGGGAAAGAAGCACTCTGGGAAATCTTGTGCGGCTTAAGCAAGGGGTAGGATTGTTGACCGTGGGGACACTCGGGAGCTCGGGCGCTGCCTGGTATCGGTGTGGAATGGAGTTTGGCGTATATTCTAGAAGATGGATGGCAAGAGCGTAGGGTTGGGTCGAAATTTTAGAGCCGGGGCGCGTGTGCCAGACTTGTTTCGACAATGTGCATGGGGCTGAGGGACCACTGGGCTGTGAGTGACGTGGATTGACTTGGCTGTCTGAGGGCACGCGTCGCGGTGTTGACGTCGAGGGGCTGAGTGTTTCAATTTTCCGCTTTGCTTCTCGCCAGCGAGGCGCAGGCGTCGGAGCCTGTGCACCAAAATGCGGGAAGTCAGCTAGTCGGTCGGCTGAAAAGGAAATGATGCAGCGCTTGGCTTGTCATGTTTCAATTCTCAACGACAGGCAGTCGCCAGAAAGTAAATCTTTCAAGAATCTGGAAAACCCTCTCACCGGTCACTACCGAAATAGCCCGTTTCACAAGCTCCTATCTGTGTCCAAATTGTGTCCAACACCGGACTAAATCGTGCATTTAACTCAAGTGTTAAAACCTGATCCCTATCACAATGGGAACAAATCGCCTACCAGGCGATTCACCGCGGTTTCAGTACCGCTGTCCCCAGTGGCCACTACCAACCATGGTTGGTTGGTAGTCGGTTCAGCCCATGGGAACCCATGGGACTCTGCGGAGGGGGTCGGAGCTGCACGGCGGTGAAGACAATCCTGAGGGGATTGTTCAGAGGTGGCTGGGGGGGATCTGGATGCAAGGCGCAGAGTATTAAAACATGCCCATCGCAGCACGCAAGCGCCGTCGGCTTCCATGGCTTATCCTGGAAGAAGTCCCAGTTTCCGTGGCCGAATAATAATTCCGGAATGGTGCACGCACACAAGTTTTGCGCTTGCTGGGCGCACTGCTCTCTAATATATGTGCCTCTCCCCACGAGCAGGTACATGCTCTCGCCAATGCGCGAATTGTTACCATGTTTGTACACACGACGCTCCGGGCAATACAAGTCTGTTGCACACATCGATTGATGCTTCTGTTATCGAATGATGCGCGGCGCTGACTTCGGCATTAATGTTGCTTTTGTGTTGGACATTAATTCGGTGGCATTAGCGCATTCCCAAAGGGCCAACAATGTATCCTGTCTGGGCATCCATGAGGGTGACGTTTCTTGTGGGATTTTGCGACACATGCGCAAGGGAGGGGTGACGTCATGAAGCCGCATTTGGTATGCGATGCACTTGAAGTCATTGAAACGTATGGTGCTGACACAATCCTGCTCGTTCTGAAGAACTTGTAGGATAGGTTAGGTGGAGGAAATCCTCCCCAGGAGGGGGAGCGGGGAGGAAGTCGGCGGGACGCTGAACTCATGCCTTGCAACTTGCAGGGCGACGGCGACTCGATTAAGACAATAGAAAACTGACCGACGGGCCTGCCGCCATCCAATCTGGCGCCGACAGTTCTCTCCGAAAAGCAGCCGCCGTGTGTGCCAACGTTGGCAGCGGTGAGCGCGCGGAGACGTGGTGTTGAACCAGGCCGAGGATGGCTCACGGGAGGGTTCTAGGAATCTCCCCCCCAGCGTCGGGCCAGAGCGGTGGGACGGCCCCAGGCGGCTTCTGCATTGCTTCGCAGGCCGGTACGGGCCGGTACGGGCGGAGCTCATGTTGCGACCGTTGGAGTAGGAGGGGTCGAGCCGCGGATGCACGTGCACGCTGCCACCGGTGCCAGTCAACATCAAAGCCCCACCTCGTGGGGTACCTCCGGCGAGGGCAGTCGCCACCCGCGTCGCTGCGGCGCGAGAGGGCGCTTAATCAAGGGCACGGCGCGCGTTCCCCTCACAAGAGCCGCCCCGCAGAATCCCCGTGCCCAGTACATGTTACGCACTGGGCGTGCGGCCATTCTGCGGGGTGGCTGTTTTTATGCACTACATGTGCACATCCCCGCCCTGGCGCGGGGGCGCCCGCCCGTATTACGTGTGTTACCGCGAGGCGTCACGCCTCGCGTCCCATTGGGCCCCGCATTCGGGGCCCAGGGCCTGTACTGGGGCGCGCCACGCGCCGTCCGGCCTGCGCCTTTTGTGGGCGCGGAACTGGCGGGCCGCTGAGCGATCAGGAAAACGCGCGCAAGCGCTATCAGCCCAGCCACTCCCGTCTTTTGTTCGCGCAACGGCAGGGAGAATTTTACTCTGGCGAGCTGGCGTCGGACTGTAAGCGTGCGGAGCGGCTCAAAAGGCGGGAGGGCTGCATCGCTCTGCCGAGAGGAGGAGCAAGGCATCGGGGAAAGGCTTGGCCGCGGGCCCCGTTGGACGATGTACAGGCGCGGGTGCGGCGCAGACAGGGCGCCTGGCGGACGAGCGGGGCCGGGTGAGCTCCCTCCCCTCCCCTTCGGCCGCGGTTTGATGGCGATGGCCGGGATGCCGGCCTGAACGCATCGATATCGTCGGTGACCTTTTCCAGGCGTGCCGAGGTCTCTTTGGAGGGCGACGTCTTTGGCGGTGCGCCGTCCACGGGCGCGGAGCTCTCGCTGTGGCTCCCTCGCGCTTTTCTTGCGACCGGCTCGTGGTGGCCGAAGGTCGCGAGCCGGATTGGACTCCGGGTGGTGGGGTGCGCTCGCGCGTATGTACGGTGGTGGTGGCTGCCGGTGTGTGTGGGGTAGCTGGGTGGCGAGGGCGGGGCAATGCAACATCACGCCACGGCTGCGCGAAGCGCGTGCCGCAGCCGCCGGGACCGCAGGGCTCAGGGAGGTCGCCGCGTGGCGCCCCGGGCGGGGCTTCCTGCGACCGGTCCATCCGACGCCCGGTGCTCTTGACCTTCCCTGTGATTCCCGTCCCAGCCGAGGCACGATTGAGGCCGGCTACCTCAAGCGGCGCCTCGGTCCCACCGCCTCCGCCACCGCCAGCCGGCCTGATGCGCGGCGCCGTCGCCGGCCTGTGCCGGGTGGCCTGCTGGGAGCCCGGAGAGACCGCTGAGCGCCCCTGACGCCCCCCGCCCCCCTGACTGAAGGGCCATCGCGGTCGCTTGGGCCACCCCGCCAGCAGTCGTGGCCACAGGCCCGCCCAGCGCGGATGCCAACCCCCCTTCCCCTCGAAAGGCGCGCCCGCACATGTCTCACTCGGTGGCCAAGATCCTTACGTATTACGTCAGCTGTCGACCTGCACTGGGTCCCGGAGGCTTTGGTGCAAAGTACGGGCCCCGGTTGTGTGTGCGTGTGTGTGTGATGGGTGACGCCGAGACTGCGGCGGTCGCGTTCGGCTCATCCCGTTTTGGGGCTCCTGGTGAGCGGGGCAGGCGAGGCGGAGGGTAGGGCCTGGCATGGGGAGGCTTGGACGGGCGGCGGCGCACCTGTAGGTGGGCCCTCAGTGCTCAGGGGCGTCGGGCCTTGGTGAAATTCTCGGCGCGCGGGGCCCGGTCTCGAACCTTAGGCTGGCAGGTTTGGGTTTGGGCGCACCTGTTGGCCCTCATCGTCTTTGGGCGCAACTCGTCGTTCCGCCGCCCACACCCTAGGATCCAGCCCAACCCGGTCTAATCCAACAAACTTCAGGACGACTGGGGAATCGCTTCGTTGTTTAGATTCAGCCCCCGCGGTTCCTCCATGCCACGCTGGCAGGATTGCAGCTGGCAATCCTGGAGCCGCGTTGCCCTGTGCTCCGAGTCCGCAAGGAATGAGCTGTCGGCTGTGCGTTGAAATGGACTGTTCGTGTCGCGAATCGGGGCTGATGCCTTTGGCCACACGAGGTGGCAATCGCTGCCCTCGCGCCAGTTCGGGGACGCCTGGCGATGCTGCCAGCCAGAAAAGAGCTCCCAACGAAAAATATCTCTTGGACAGTGCAAGGCACACGTGAAGCAATAACAACATGTGCAACTCCCGCATTCGTGCCAAGGAAAAGGACGTAAGCAATGTACTTGCTGTGGCACGAAGCCGCTGCGCAGAGGACCTATGCGTTTGAGACTCCAGCGTTTGTGGGCGTTGCATTATTCCGTGTGAAAATGGGCCGCCTTTGCAATGTTTGACACGTTTGAACTGAATAAGGGCTCCTAAACACTCGACTGTCCACTTCATTAGATACACAGTCAAATGTTGAGCAGGCTCTAAAGAACATTTCCTTGTGTTATTCTTGTAGACATGCTGAGGCTCTACGTGGGGGATAAGCCACCTGGCCTTCACCAGATGGCTCGGGATGGTGCATACGAGGCGATTGTAAAAGCCCTACAAAAGGGCAAGAACATCGGCAAGAAAGACAAGGTTGGTGTGCTGGCCTGTTGACTGTGCATCTGGAAACACTGTCAGCGCCTGGTAGAAAAATGAAGACACCAGTTTGCATTGCAGGCTGCTGGCAATCCTTTGTGCTAATGACCCAATTTGCACACGCCATTGTACATCCCAGCGCCATGCCAGTGTGTCCTGCTAAGCGATGTTATCGACAAGGTGGCAGCCAGCGGAACGGACAATATGTGTAGCAAAGTTGCAGTTGCTCTTTGGAACTACAATTTCCGCTCTCAATTGCTATGATCAGGCGTTGCTGCTATTGTGTTGCCCCAGGAGGGCTGCACGCCCCTTCACATCGCTGCACAAGCTGGTAGGATCGAAATCCTAAGGCTGTTGATGGATAAAGGAGCTGATGTGGAAGCTGAGGATGAGGTAGTTGCATGGAGCAGGGCGTGCGGTTGTGGTAGTCTAGTACTTGAGTCATCAATGCGTTTTCAAGCACTGTGGATGCTCCTTGTGCAGCAGTCAAGATGTTGAGAAGCACTGGTCCCCTTGTGTGAATAGTTTGTCCACATGTCTTTGTGTCTCGGGCAACAAGTTTCCTTTGAGCATGCCCAATCATATCAAGTGCATCGTTCGTCGACCTCATCACTGTGGCCCATCGGTCTCAAGTATTGGAGACATGGCAATTAAACAGAAAGGCACCAAGTCAAGCACTGGGTGCCTTACTCCTGATCAAGGACTCTTGTAGACTAGCCTCCAGGAAGGGTATGGGGTCACCAGCGCACGCCACAGAAACAGCCTAAACATGAGGAGAACTTGCCAACCTGTCCATTTTATGGAACCAAAACCTGTCTTGAACAGCTTGGATTTTCGTCTTTCGAGCACATATTGGTAGGAAAGTGGAGGCTGTTGGCATGTTGTTCAAGAGTGGATCAAGACTAAAGGCGAACTATGGCTGCACACGCATGGATAGAACACCATCGGTGCGAGGCCTTGCCTCTGAATGCCCCCGTGTGTTTTTTTGTGCAGGCTGGGCTCACACCTTTGCACTACGCCTCTATGTATGGTCAGGTTGAGGTGGTGCAGGTGTTGTTGCGGCAGGGTGCAAATGTGCTCAAGGAAGACAAGGTAATGTATGCACATGTTCGCCACTTTGGGAAGCACCGAAGCTACACTACACATGTCTACTGAATGACCCCCGATGACAGACACAGATTTTCATGCTGTTGATGCCGCTCACTGCTATTGGCACCTCTGACTGTTCTTCTGCAGCCCAAAGTGCAGGAAGAGTGTCAGTCAGTGTCGTCAAGACAGATGCCGGTTGTGTGCAATATGCTGTCTTCCAGAATAAATGAAGGGCGCCACTCGTGCCAAGTATCTGTTTGGGTGCCGAGCCCAGGCTTGATGCGGCCAGCTGAAGTCGCGTGGCTGCTGCTTGAGCAGCAGCATGGTGGAGCATGCGGCAGTGTTGACGGAGTTGGCGGTGCTCACTTGCAGGAGGGCAGGAAAGCGAGTGGGGTGATCTGCCATGGAATTCCAGACAGGCGTCGCCGCCACACAATCTCCGGGCTGCTCAGCCTTGCAGAGATGAAAGCGGAACAGGAGCGGCAACCAAGCCAAAAGGTGGGAGCAGTGCTGCAGTTCGGCACATTTGGTGTCGATGTCGACGACTATATGGTTGCGTGAGCTCACATGCAGCTGGCTGCCAAATAGGCAGCGATGTGAAGCGGGGAAGTGGCACTTGTTGCCTTGCACTTGCTCTTATGGATCACTGGAGGCAGCACAGAGTTTCAACACACTGCTGGTCTTTCGGGGCATGCGATCAGCAACGCAGAAATTGACGTCCCGGGAGGGAAGCTATTGTCATCTTCCCGGCCCAAAGGATCCAAAAGAAAGTGTGAAATAACAGGGTATGGTTCCGTATGCCGAAATGCTGAAATGCGATGTGTGTGAACACTGCGTTCGTGGGCCCGACCTCCAGGATTGCCAATTCCTGCATTCCTTGCTGGAGCGCCGCCTGTGCCTGTGCTCCACGCCATCCACCACACCGCTTTTGAGCACGGACGCCGGGAGCACGACTTCCGAAGCTTCTGGGAGCACGGGGTGCGCCAGCCGGTGCCAGACGCAGCACACGGAGTCAGACTCCCAGGAAGACGCCATGGTTGATATTTACACCGGATCCAGGTTCCTGAACAACGACGTCCGGCACAGCGCCTCTCACCTTCGCCTCAAAGAGCCCATGCCTGGAAAGCACAACATGGACATTCCCTACGTGAACATCTTTGGCGATTAGGGGCACATTTGCTGGCTTCCCCTTTTCGCTGATGCGAAAGTGTTGCCCATTTTTATTCCTTCTGCAGTTGGGGTTGAATTCTTTGGGATTTGGGGGCGGGGCTGCGTGTGAAGCGGGTTGCCCTGACGTCCCTCGGGCGTCGCGCATGTGTGGCGGCACCTCTCCAAGCACGCGGGGCCCACTCGCATTTTTTTTCCCCTGTTTTTCCGTTGGTTTGCTTTTGTTGTTGCTTTGATTTGCTGTTGTTTTTTGGGCTGTTGTCCTTTTTGTCGCAAGAACGGCCGTTGCCCGGTCGTGCTGGCGCGCCCACGGACTGCCTGGCGCCTGTGGACAGGGGGTTTCTGGGCAAGGGAGAGCGAATGATGGGCATGGATGGCGGGATCTGCGCGAGGATGGCATTGGCGAAGGGGCAGCCCTCACGTTTTTTGCTCTTCCACGTAGCTCCCAGACGCTTCGCTGGGGGAGCAGTTCTCGAAGGGCGTGCGAAGTGGTAGATAGGCAGGCAGATTGTGTGGGCAGCGTTGATCGTGTTGGAGTGTAAAACTTGAATGTAAATGCTTATTTCCGTCTTGGCACGGCGTCCTCTTTGGCATACATTCATGCGCCTGTCATGTCGAGCTCCCTGGATGCTCGCCACGCCGTCGTTCTAATGTAATGTTACTAAATGCGATGCTCCCAAGTGATGAGAGTCCATAGGGGCGGCCGTGGAGGCTGTCGATTGAGACATTCTTAGTCCTCCTTGAAGATTGAACGCTTACGGGAGGCTCTGGAACAGAGCGCGACTTGTTTGCTGCTGATCAGCGGTGATTTGATCATCTTCTCACCTCATGTCGATTGTGTGGCTAGTACATTGCTCTCGATATCACAACCTCCCCCCCGCCCCTCCGCCTTGGCTTAGTGTCAAATAGCAGCTCAGCGTATCAAATTCGACATAGTGCCCTCCCTTGCGCACACTCAACTGCAGCAGCCCTTTTCAGTCCATCTGCCATACGTGCAAAACTTCAGCAGCATGATTCGGATGGGGTCTGCGGCCGTTGTACTGTCAGGGCCCTTGCCGGAGCGCAACTTCGCCTTTGTCTCCACGTGCGTCCCACCACATGAAGCGGGTAGGTGAGCGATGATCAATGACTCTGAGCGAACCTTCATGGCCCTTGTGATGTCACGCTGCCACCCGAGGCGTTCCAACAGCAGCGTGGATCGCCATTAACACGTTACAGCATCGGACCATAGTAAAACAGGCAATTGTCAGCCTTCACGATCACCTGAAGCACAGCCCGCACGTAGCCAGCGAACCAAGGAACGTCGCCCCTGCAGTTCACAGAATTCCGGCCGGGTAGGCCGCCAGGTGAGGCAACACGCCACGTCGCCCCAACATGATTTCACAGTGCAAGCAGCACGCGATCTCAGGCATCTGTCCACAACAGCGTGCTCAAGCACTTCCGCCCGCACTCGCCCCCTCCCACCACAGCGATCCCATCGCACAGCAATCTTCCGCTCAAGCAATTCCCCCGCCAGGCGCTCGAAAAACAGTACAACCACAAAGAAATTGTTCACCCTCTTCCCGCAGTGCAGAACAGTACGCCTCAGATTGACTTCAAATGGCTTCTCCATCCCGTCGGACTCATTGCCAACCCAACTCTCCCATGAGCGATGACAACGCGCTGACGACGGCCGTGCCACCGTCCATCAGCCCAGGCTGCTGTACAGCGCCTCGATCTCCTTCTCATACTTCCTGAGGAGTTGGGGGCGCTTCAGCTTGAAGGTCGGGGTCAGGCAGTCGTTCTCGACGCTGAAGAGCACGGCGTCCAGGTACACGGCCTTGATCTTCTCGAAGCCCTTCAGTGCCGCCTCCGTGGCCGTCAGGTTCAAGACCTCCAGCACGTGGTCGCATGCATCAGAATTCCTGCAAACCTCCTCGAAAGTGCCCTGCACGCCGTGCTGGGACGCCCAGGCCATGAGCTTGTCCTTCACGGGCACCACGACGGCCACCAGGCAGCTCTTGAACGAGTTGCCGTACACCCACAGCTGCTCCACCATGGGGTTTTTCTTGTACACGCCCTCCACCATCTCCACCGCAATGTACTCACCTGCACACACGGGAGGCAAACGTGCAACAGTCCCCGTTCAGTGCACATGTCGAATCATGCCACATCAGACAGCCATATCGTGTACCTCCATTTGCGTGCTGACAACTTGGTGTCAAAGCACCAGCCAACCAGACGGTGTACCTCCAAATGTGTACTGATAAGTCTGGTTTGTTTGCCGTGTGCCCTAGCCACACACTACATAAATGTTCGTTATTTATATACGGTTGCAGTGCCCAGCACAACCTCAACGCCGCAATAGTCTTCAACTCGATGGCACACATGGCCTGCAACCATTCCTATTCGACCCAACGCAATCGCGACACACATGGAGCATGGCGACTCCATCTGCAGGTTCTGGAATCCTCCAAATTTGCCTCCTGCGCAGAGGAGCACAGCAAACTGCCCGAACCGTGTGGCTCTCATTCAGCCGCACCGATTCAGGTGATCACAAGTGCTGCAGCCATAATCCTTAGCACGTGCACCCGAACGAAAGAAAACCGAGTTCATCATTTCATCAATGCCCCAAAGGACACCACATAACATGGCACCGCAGTCTAGCATGTATCATCCAGGTTCTGAATTCGCATGGTACTTCCAATCCCCAGGGCTGGGTTCATTACTGTCATACGGCATTATTTCAGGACGGACATCGACACTTCTGCCATCTTGTGGACCGTCCAAACGTGGTTTCAAAACACATTTGACCTGAACACAGCCATTGAAAGGACACACACTCGCTACTTCGAAACTGCTCGCCACCACTCAAGAACATGGGAGAGGACAATCATCCACATACAATATCAATTCGTTTCCCTGGAGTCCCCAGCCCACTTTTGCAGCAACAGCAACTGCATATTCTGCATATTACACTGCAGCACAACATCAATTTCGCAGAACATGACTTGCAATACGCTCGATTCCAGCCAGTGTCACTATTGATCGACAGTGCTGCAGACTGAGGGTGGCGGCCCACCTTGTGAGAGTTTAAAGATGTTCTTCTTCCTGTCGATGAGCTTGAGAACGCCATCACCGACGATGGTCCCAATGTCACCTACAGACATCGCAACATACAGACGTTGCAACGTTGCAAGACATCACCATTATTAGCAGCGCGCCAAAACCACGCCAAGGCACAAGCTGCGCAAAGCCTCCAAACAACAGTCGTCGTCGACACTGAGGACACAGCCATAGTTTGTCTGCATCCTGGCTATCACTCCCCTACTTCTATCCCTCTACTTCTGGAGTCTTCAAGGCATGCTGAAGACCAGGAAACAGTGGATTACTCACTAATTCCTCGCAGCTGAAACAACAGCAGATTGGGTCCATAAACAGACTGCCCTCCACACTGCACATTTTAAGGGCTCCACATCCTCTTCAGCAGTGGAATGTAACAGCACCCCAATCCAGCAATCTGTTCAATTGAAACTATTCCCAGCCAGCAACATACCAACATGACACAGCACCTGTGTGAAACCATCCATCCTTCTCCAGAACTTCGTTCGTTTGCTTGTCATCCTTGTAGTATCCAGAGAAGTTGGATTCCCCTTTAATGCAGACCTCCCCTTTCGGCTCGGGTCCACAAGCATCGTAGTTCATTTCGGGGACTGACTCAAGTCGGAAGGAGCAAACAGGCTGTGGCGGCCCAACTGTTCCACACATGCCCTGAATAACAGAACACAAAAACATTATGCTGCACTTGGTGAGCAGTTCTACTTGTGATGCACAACACAGTGAGAGAAACCACGGGAATGTCATATGGCATTGAATGGAAACACAGGACTCCAAATACTGTCCACACTCGTAGTACACATTCCTTTTGCATGTCGACGAGATAATCGCTACCATCAACTCAGCCACAAAGGTCATGTCGGTTCAGTGCAGCAGCAAACTGGACAGCCAGCAGGTGAGCTGGGTGCATTACTAGCTGGGTGCATCGATGCATATCCTGTGCTCTTCTGGGGCCTTACATCGCCTGAACATCTGCTGCCTTGCCAGGTGGCAAAGGATTGCATTTCCTCTATCAGGACAGAGAGGGCACCTGAACCCTGGCATATGATGGAGGCGCCAAAAACCAACCAGACGCAAAGTGTGCATATCTCACAACTGTCCAAGGGCACACAAACTGGTTTCCCCAACTCTTGCCGTGAAGTCACCTACCTTGGCATCAGGGATGGCGATGAACGAACCGGCACATGTTTCAGTCAGCCCATAGCCCTGGACGACTGGGCAGCAGAAGCACACCCTGAGGAAGTTCTCTGTGTGCAGGGCGATCGGCGCACCACCAGTGACGATCAGCTTCACCTTGCCCCCAAGCCTGTCCTTGATCTTGTTGAAAATGAGACAGTCCAGCAGAGGCGTGGCCTGTCGAAGGACACAAAATGGCAGCATTAATACAGAATAAGTTTACGTTCAAATGGAAAAATGTACACAAATGGATACACAGATACAATGGATGTGAATTGATGTGAAAAGGACATTATGCAAAAGGACACGACATGGCAGCTCCCATTCTGGGTATAAAAGGAGTGTCATGAAAGCTGTGGTGATACAGAGTAGCTGTTTGTTACCCACTGCCCAGTCGACTGGCATTAACTGCAAGGCCGCCCAGAACAAGGCCACAACACCCAAACCCAACAACACACTGGCAGGTGCATCGATGTACCTCTTCAGCCTTGATGCCCTGGTCCAGAAAATGGAGCTTTCTCTTGAAAGCGTAGTTGAAGAGGAATTTCTTCAGGAAGCTGGATGAAGCCACTTGGGAGGTGACACGGGCGTAGATTCTGTCAAACACACGAGGCACTCCGACGAACATGGTGGGCTGCAGGGCTGCCATGTCATCCACAAGGCCAGCTATGTCTCCCCTCCAGTACCCAATAGCACCACCAAGGTGCAAAAACAGTTCTTCCGCAGTCCTTCGAGTGGCACAAAATATATGACATCAGTGACACTGTTGGCCAGTCAGAGAGAATTGGTCTCGAGTTGATGCTCCAATTCCAAGCAGTGTTTGCTGACGTTTGGTAATCTTTCTGAATTGCCTTTGACAAGACCAAGCAGTGCCTTGGCAGCATGCACGCGATGAAATGCATCCATACATTCAAGAACATTTTGTCAAACATGCACTCATTTCATCTGCTCGCCGCCTGTCATTGCTGTTATGCAATTCCTGATGCACACTTGACGTCCGGTGCCATGGGTGGAACAAAACTGCAACAATTATGCCGTTGGCTGTGATGTGCATTGTGCCACATCCTTCCCTCTACAGATACCATTGTGGTGGGTTCAAAATGAGCCAAGTCAGCCACTTGAATAGAGACAAAGGGCCAGATCAACCACAACAATAAACATCACGTCATAGGGGAATGCTGAGAGAAACACACACAAGTGGCAGTGTATCCTGAACAGCCTCGCGGCTGAAAGGGCATTTGTACCACAGTTTGGCACAAATTCGACGTGTAAGTCGACTGTGAGTAGCGAAAAGTGGACAAGGGCGAGGACGGAGTGGGCCAACTGCCACCGCCAGACACCTGGTACTCACCTGTCAAAAATATGGGCGAGAGGCAAATACGAGAGGAAAATGTCGCCAGGACCCCATTTCCCAAATTGGCCCAGGTATGTGGCGAGAGACACCACCTGGGCAGTGACTGACTTGTGGGTCAGCATGACTCCCTTGGGCTGCCCCGTCGTGCCGCTGGTGTACATGATGGTGCTCAGATCGTCGGGCTTGGGCGGTACGGCGTCACAGGGCTTGTTCTCTCCCAGCTTCATCAAGTCTTCCAGGGAGTGGACGGACGCCTTGGCCGCCTCGGCGGCCTGCAAAAGCGTTCCCACCCTCATTCTACAATCCATTCCGTCCACGCGTCATCTTCACGGCCATCCGCGCCTTCCCACTCTCCAAAAAGCGGCAAGACGGCCCCTAGACTCCCCCAGCCATCGCGACCGTCTCCAGAGGGGCCAATTGTACCCAGCAAAGAGAATCACCAAACAAAAACATCAACAATGCAGAAAAGAGAAACACAGAACGTCTCCCGGACCTGAACCAAAAGTTACGAGACGCCTCTCCATGCCGCGAGAGGCAATCCGCCGGCACGAGGCATCGCCCGACATTCTCGCCGCGGGACTGATCGGCGGCGATCGATCGACAGCCGTTCTCTTTAGAGTCCCGGGCGCCCGCTCACCTTCACGCACGCCTCGTCGGACTCCCCCCAGTACACCACCACCTTGACCTGGCCCTTCAGCTTGGCCAGCGCGTCAGCCAGCTTGGCGAATTTCTTCTGCGACACGAACACCGCGCTGGCGCCGCTGTGCTGCACGATGTACTCCACGGCGTCCTCGCCAAGGCTGTCGTACAGGGGCACGCACGTGTAGCTCATCCGGTTGCACGCCTGCAGCGGAACAGCCCAGCTTCCCACTCTCGCAAAAGAGGTCGCGCAAAGCCGGGTGAGCCAAGCTGGCGCGATGCCATCCCCACGGATGTCACGCAAACACGCATCAGGCGCCGCCCCGACTAACTCAGCATCCGTTCCTTCCCTTTCGGACCACGCGGCGCGATGCGGCCCAAGCACGGCGCATCCAAGATCGCGACCGCGGCCCCGCGCGCCCCAGAGCGGAATCGTCTGGAAGGCCCGGGAGCGTCTGCCCACCTGCATGGCCAGCATCCACTCAGGGCAGTTGGCCCCGAACACGCCCACTTTGGCGCCCGCCGCGATGCCCAGCTCCTTCAGCGCCGATCCTACCGCCGCCACTTTCTTCGACGTGTCCTTGTATGTCCACCACACATAGTCCCCCGCCTTGCCGTCCGCCACCGGCCGGCAGCCCAGGCAGTCCGCCGTCGGGTACCGCTCCACGCTCCTGTCGAACACCTCCAGCAGCGTGGTCACGCCCTCGAGGCTGGGCGCGCCGTCCTTAAACGCGGCCGCCCTGTAGGTGGGCCCGGCGGACGGCAGGTCGCCCGTGGCCGGCCTGGCTGGCGCCACCTCCGTCAGGAGATCGAATCCCATGGCTGCCGCGCGCCGTGCTCAGGGGGGGGGGGGGGGGGGGGGGGGAGGGGGGCTGAAGAGCAGGAAGGGGGCGTTGCCGGGGGACGGGGTGGGGATCGGCGCACAGGTTGGGTGCCCGCCACCTTTTGGACCGAGCGCGGGCCTACTATTCCCCGTTGGGCTCTTGTGCCGGCTCCTGTACTGGGGCCCGTGCGGGATGAGGTGGGCGGATTGCTCCGCCATGGAATGTACGAGAAAGCAACATGATGCCGGTGATCGACAGGGGCACGAAGGGGGGGCCGGTGGCTTGAAGATGCTCTCATAGGGGCGTCGTTCCCGGGAGACGCGGTGGGGGAGTGGGGCTTGCGCCCGTTTTGTGTGATGTCTCACACAAAGGGACGTTGCCTGGGGGGTACTCGCGGAAGGAAGGGCGCCCTCCGGTCGCATCGCCGCCAGGCATTCAGGGGGCTCATACGCTCAAAGACGGCTCTCGCGGTGACATGAGGGTAGCCGCCATGGGGCAGGGGTCGGCTCACACAAACCGCGACATGACGTGAAGGTGGTGATAGGCACACTCAAGCCGGCAAATCGGAGGCTGGCGGACACGATCTCTCCCCTTGTCCTTTGGTCAGCGTTGTATTTGCTTCGTCTCGGACATCCGGTGTCGGTCTTGTGAAGGAGTGTTTGTGACGCCTCTTCGGGAACACACCGCTCCGCAGGATATGGCCATATTATAGGATTTGGCGCCCGTATGTGGGACATGGACATTCCATATCCAGGATATGACCATTTCTGCCTGATGGGATACTCGTCCATCCCCCATACAAAGCCCAATGACTGTCGACCATAAAATTTGCCCTTGCTTCGCACATCAAACCAAAGCACTTTCCCCAGTACTTTGCACTTTACAGATCCTGCCTTCCAACCGAAATCATACTGAGAATAGTGCGAATCATACGGGCATAGTAGGATGGGCGGGAGGGAGAGCAAAACATGATGGAGATGGTTAGGGGGCGCCACCCTAAATTAGGCGGTACCACCTTACGCCAGAACTTGCCCAGCCCCTCATGTGATCAACCTATTATGGCTTCTTTAAAAGCATGCCAGAATACAACTATGCAATTGGCCAACACTCACTGCCCTTGGGCAGTGACGTCTAGGCAACGGCCAGTGGTAGCACCAATGTGGTTCTTTGCCTAGGCTGCTGATGTGTTCTCGTTTTCCACCCACGTCTCCCTACGTAGAAAATTATTTACTATGTTAATTCCCTATCTGAGATACGCATATCCCATATTTGTTGCCCATATTATAATCGGAAGTTTTGGTCTCGAGACGGGTGTAGGCGTCCTACACATTCCCCCAAAATATGGTTCCCCATATCCCATTCCATATCCAAGACATGGTACATTTTGCCAATATACCACTCAAATCATAGAATGTCATGGGCAATGCATTTCGACACGTCGCACTGCATCGGTGGTCTGATCAGTGCCAATGACTATAAACACGGGCCCACATGGTGTGATATAGTGCCATGTGGTGGGATGCCGACATGGCACCGCATTCCTACATATCAGAATTGTGGGCATCGTTCCCACACGATTTAAACGGGGTTGAACACCAGCCCATGACATGGGGTGCCCACTGCAAGGGTAGGCACAACTCCACGCGTGAGGGTGCCTTCACGCTGAGCACCACATTGGGGGCAATGGGCAATGTGGGCTGAGTTGCAAATCAAACGCATTGGATGGGCATTTGATGTGTTCATATGGGCCGATGGTGTTCACACCACGCTAAGTGCAATGGTTGCAATTGCATATCTGTGGTGCTTGCGCTTTGGAATTGTGTGTTGCAATGAAACTTGTGTTGTGATAAGCCCAGTGGTATGAGATGGCTTTCAATGCCACTTGCTATGCAGCTGCCCACATTGCCTAAACCATCATGGCATAGGCAAGTTTCACAGCTTATATTCTTGCTACGAAAAGCACCATAATTATTTACAATTTGTCTCTCTTACAACACAATGCCACCCACACCAACCCCACACCCAATCCACCATCTGCCGAACAACCTATTCACCATCTGTGGCTACAATTCCCTTCCCCTTCTAAGAGCCTCCATCGTTGCATCAGCGCCTTGGACGTGCAAATGCCGAGCCAACTAGGCATGTGCCTAAGCCTATCCCAGCAATGTGCTCCACTTCTTGTTCTCCATGTGGCTATATATGATCATATATACAAGCTCATGAGCTTGCCCTATACCCTGAACCTGGGCACACTAGCACACAATTGTGGAGCAATCTTGGGCAGGGCGTCCCCCACACCAAGGGACCATTAGTGGGCGTCCCCCACATCAGGCCAACGTGTGTAACAAGGGCAGCAGCTAAGATTGCACAGGTGAGGGACAGGGATAGTTTTGAAGCAAAATAGGTAGGTGGGCGCCTACCGACATCATCCTGCAATTAACCTTACCCCACGTGTTGCAGCCCCATCAGCAGCCGCTGGTTTCCGGAGTCGTGGGGGTCGCCCTCCCCTACAGCACAGCCGTTGGAGGTCGGCTGGCCTCTCCACCTCGGACGGTGGGCGTAATCGGGGCAGTCGATTGTAGAGTCGCGCGGTGGGCCCAATGCTCGATGGGGATCGATCCCCAGGGCCTGTTGTCGGCGAGAGGTGGCGGCGCAGCGCGGTGGTGGTTCGCTGGCTTGCGGGAGACCAGAAAGTGGGCCAGAATGGTGTTACATGGATTCACAGCATGCGCGCGCATATATCGCATGCGCGATACCCGATCGCGGGTCCATCGCGGTCATATCATAACAAGACAAGACAAGTGCGCGTCCAGGCACATCGTCACTGTCCACCGTTGACCTAAATCAGCTCCACATCATCCCCGATGCTTCCATCTACCGGTCCGAATCCCATGCTAAGGTACTGCAACTTCAAACAGCCATAACTTCGCCGTTTCTACACGGAATTGGACGTTTCAAGGCGCTATTGGCATCAAGAGCTCCTGAATAAGCTGATTTAACTATTTGCACTTTTTTGACTAACCGCCGCTTCAAAAATGTCAATTTTGGCCTAACCCCAAGTAACCACGTCACACCACGCACGCACAATAGCATGCAACGACTCTGGCCAGTTACAACATACCGGTGGTGTTGCTGAACATTGAAAGAGTTGTGCTTGTATATGCAAGGGTGTGCATGTGCAATTGTTTGTGTGTGCAGGTGTTGAAACAAGCATGGCTGCAGAGCAGACTACGGGTATCCCGTATCAGTGCAGATAAAGGTGAGATTTGTTGCTCCACCCCAACCAGACCTTATTCTATTATACGATATGATATGGGAGTAGGCCGGGGTGGTCCTGCCTAGGTCTCTGTAAGGACCTAGGTTCCCGGCGCAGCTTCAAGAGGGCAGGTGCCCCATACCACTAACTTCGTTGTATCGGCCCTGCCCATTCATTTGCTCAACGCAATAGCTCCCCTTGGCCGTGGGGCAAGTCCTATGGTCAGAGGTGGGCCCAGCCATATGGCATAGAAATGGGAACGGGGATGGTGTCCGTTCCCATCCTGGAATCAAACCCGTTCCCGTTCCCGTCCCAGTCCATTCCAGTCCATTCCCAGGCCGTTCCCCAGGAACGGATTTGGACCAGATTTGGGCAGGGCCGGAATGGTGATGGAACGGATCCGTTCCTGCCCAAGGATGGATCCATCCCGGCTCAGGAACGGACCTGTTCTTGGCATGGAACAGCCCCGTCCTTGTCCGTTCAGGTCCATTCCTATCCATTCCCCAAGAATGGACCATGCGAATTGGAGGTCTTACGAGTTTGGGGGGGCCATTGGCAGACCAGTGCAAGTTGTGGAGGCATTCATAAGGCCGGATTCAGGGCTAGGAGACACATTTCCACAGGGACACTTGACTTGCAGCAAAGGCCATATGCACATTGCCCAATGTACAAGCTGGACATATAGCCAGAATTAAAACAAGTCACACACATCCACATAGCCTATAGGCCATAGGCCAATTCGAGACAAGCCAATAGAACCCGGAAAATTACAACTTGTAATTTACAAGTCGGTGTTGCTAGACAAGAACATCAGCTGCTCAATGCGTTCGTCCCTCAGAGATGCCCGCCGAGATCGCACAGTATGGCCAGATACCAAGAAGCCCCATTCTGATGCACCACTTTTGGCCGGCACACACAATGAGTGCCGGGCCACCCACGCCACTATGGGCCATCGAGCACTATTCCGTGCCCAATAATCAAGTGCATCCTCCTCTCGTGGGGCACCCGGCTCACACATTCTCCAAACTCCAACATTCCGTTAAGAACTCCTGAACGTATCGCGCGATCAACCGTTGTGTGGCATCTGTCAGTTCACCGCCCGCTGTAATGCCCATAGGTTGGCTAGGCCCCGCAGCACCCCTTGCCCCTAGACCCCGGCCCCAAGATGCATCATAACCCTCCTCGGAGTTGGTGTCAAATGTCTTATGCCCCGTGAGCTTCTCCCTTGGCTTGCGTACGGTCCGCTGTCCAGGATGGGGTGGCAGGCCTGCTTGCCCCGATGCCTCTGACCACCCAATGTCCTTTGCGAATTTAAGAAACAACTTTAGCAACTCAGCCGACATGTCCTCCATCACGGCATCCACCGACATGAACTCATCCCTAATGGGTTCCAGTACCTTTATGTAGGAGCCCAGGGTAGCCTTCCAGGTGTACACTACACACACACCAAGCAATTCATTAGCAGTACTTCTGACATTTTATATGTGTTTGAACATGTGAACGACACCATAGTGAGAAACAATACACAACACCAACAACACCATCACTGAGTGATCAGCAACGATCGCTCACCGGTGGGGTCCATCATAGCCAAAAAGGCCATCTGCCAGACCCACGAGGAGTCGCTGAATGTCTCTTCTAGCTTCCACAGCATGTCACTGTAGAATGGCACCAACACACTGTATGGCCCCTTATTTTCCACATCGCCAATTTTGTAAAGGAAACGTTGGAGGTGCATCA